AACATATAGAAGAAATATATGCACTGGAGCACAAAGGAACAAAACGGATATAGTTAGCAGCTCCTATTACCCAGAGAATAGAATAGAATAGAATAGAATAGAATAGAATAGAATAGAATAGAATAGAATACTTTATTAGCCAAGTGTGATTGGACACACAAGGAATTTGTCTCCCGTGCATAAACTCTCAGTGTACATGCAAAACAACAAAGTAATAATTATCAGAATTTCAAATTAATAATAATCATAATTATAATTATAACATATAAAATAAATTTATCTTGAACACCCCTCCCCATAACCAGAGTGTAGAGTAAAACTAAAAACACAAACCTCCCCAAAGTTAATATGTTCACTCTTTTTAGAGATCTTTAAATTTTGCTTCCAGTTCTTTTAAGTTATTTCAGCTTTGTGCAAATGCTTATGGATGTTTAAGAGTATTACATCACTGTCAAGTTTAGAGCAAGTTGAAACAATTTAAAAAGTTTCCGTCCACATCAAGGCTCATCAACACTCATACATTATCACTCCATGTGGACGGACAAGAGAAGCTTTTAAGTTCTTCAGCAAATTAGATATTTTTTCAAAAGGAGCCAATTGTATCTTCTTTCAATGCCAATCAAACACTGACGGGAGGAAGAACATGAAAATAAAATCCGGAACGTTCCAGTGGTAAAACAGGGAGACCATGGTAATATTGCCAATTAAAGGCTCCCCCAGGGGGTTAATTAATCTTGGTAAGTGCCAAACATTTCAGAAATTACTTTGCAAATATCATAAAAGAAAGCCTTGTCCTCCAAATAATTTAGGGCTAAATGGTTAACAGTTTTGTTGTTTGGGAAAAAGATGTCGAATGTTTTAAGTGGGTCTGTCAGGGCAGGGGGAAGAGATGAAATTAACCTGGGTCTCCATATTTGTATCTATGCATCTGTCCATATTTTGACTTTTACTAATCTTGAAAGACCTGAAGCAGTAGCAGGAAAGAGAATAGAAGGAAGACAGGCTGCATTGTAGAGTTGGGCAAATATGCCATTTTGAAATTCTTCAGCAAATTTGTGGAAAAAAGAAATTAGATAAATGGTGTCTCTAATTTCATGTACTGAAGATACAATTCTCCAAAAATTGTTGAAGGACACCCTATTGAAAAAGCCCAAGGTGATCTATCCTTACCTTGGGATTTAACTCAGGAAAAGTGCAAACAGCCGGAAAGACAGGATGTTAATTCAACATTTGGTCACCATTTCATCAAATAATATTCTACCAGTAATGATATAGTGGGTTGACCCCTCCAGTTCCCTTCAAGGGAAGAGGATCCTTAAGACTTTCCCCCATAATCCCCACTGTTGCGTCCTCCCAGGCACCTTGGGACGACCTGCTTTATAGTCTATCACAGTGATGGCGAACCTTTTAGAGATTGAGTGCCCAAACTGCAACCCAAAACCCACTTATGCATCATCAGGTGCTGGGTGGGTGTGGCCCATTGGCTGGGTGTGGCCAATTGGATAGGTGTGGCCCATTGGGTAGGCGTGGCTGCGGTGGTAATGGCAGACTGGGTGGGACTAAAACGTTCAATCAATCAATTGCAACTTTGCAAGATCTTTTTTTCCCTGCGAGAAGTTGAAATTGACTGATTGATTGAACTTTTTTTTTTTTTTTTGCACACGGCGGCAGAGGCCTAAAGCGAAAAGGTTTTATAAAACCCAGCTGAAGGCCTAGGACTGGGGCGATGGCGCGCGTGCCCACAGAGAGGGCTCTGAGTGCCGCCTCTGGCACCCATGCCACAGGTTCGCCACCACTGGTCTATCACCATTCAACTAATTCCTTAGTGCCTCTTACTCAAGAAGAAAAGTGGAAAACCTTGTGCAATTGGCTCTCTTGCCCTTGCTGTAGTTCAGTAGTGTGGCCAGGATATAGCTAGAATTTTAGGCTAAATTCTTTGCCTGAACAACAGGGAAAGGGTTCCAGAAAAGGATACAAGACTTTTATAATATAACCGGGACTTGAAGACAATGGGAAAAATAGAAAATAAAATATCATGAATCCTGCAGGCTTTACTTAATGGCAATACTTTCATGTAAAAGTATACCTCTCTCTCTCTTTTTCCTTCCTTCTCCCACTCTTTCTCCAGGTAGAACAAACTCAGGATATCAAGCTGAGGTCAATCCACAAAGTAACTCAATGAACAGATCCTAATCTGTGTCTAGCTCTACTTAATAGCCATTTTCTAGTAATTCATCCTTTGTCTGACTTGGAACACTTACAGTATTTGCCTGGCTGAAACAAGACTAAGATGAAACACAATCTCTACTCATGATGGCAAAAGAACAATGGAAAAAATAAGAGATTTGCCGTGGTCCTTTTTGAAGACCGCCTTGATTGATTCTTCACTGGTTTGATTTTCCTGGATGCTGTTGATCTCTGCTCACCATCTAGAACAGGGGTAGGCACCCTTGGCTCTTTTATGACTCGTGGACTTCAACTCCCAGAATTCCTGAGCCAGCTGGCTCAGGAATTCTGGGAGTTGAAGTCCACGAGTCATAAAAGAGCCAAGGTTGCCTACCCTTCTAGAAGGTTTAAATCTTTTGGGTTAACCAAAATCCACTACAGCCCCAGTAAAAATTTATCTCTAAAAACTTTTTTTTTCCTTCAAAGGGATTGCTAAACCAAATTCTTGTTCATCTACTGAAGGAAAAAAGAGGAAGGACATTTTCCCTGTCCGGCACTATCCATCTGGTAATGGTTTCCCAGAAATAGGTGGTTGGGCATTTTCACAACAGGAAACTACAAGATTGCCTTCTGTGTGTTCCAGCATGGCTCTTCTTGGTAGCAACAGGAGATAAATCAAGGTTCTCAGATTCAATATTAAATTATATTCTAAAATACAGCATATGGAAACCCATAGACCAAGTGGAAAAGCTATGGGATAAATTTGAAAATTTTGACTGTATGTTTTTGTACCAGGTGTAATTGGTGGATCCTGGCTTCTCTCTGTGACCCTGGACTCAAAGTGAAAGTTATGTTTTTTTCCCCTGATCGAATCACTGAAATCTTCCTAACAAGATTTACTGAAATGAGGAAGACAGGATTACAAGAATTTCAGCAAATAAACTATTTCCCATCAGAATCAATTTTATATTCTAAATCATAAAGGCAGAGCCTTTCATAATGGATGAGTGTGTAGGTGTCAATTTCCATTTCCTAAGTCCATAATAGTGTGAGAACCAACTCTTATGTAAGCACAACACAAACAATGAACAAATAAACAGAGTTCCTATAAAACATGCAATCCATTCACTGCAGGAACTAATTTGTCCCTGCTACAATCACATAATTAAAAGGCCAGCAAGACTTGAGTTTTGTGGGCTCATTTCCATTATTCCAATCTTCCAAATCCCAGAATCAGTGCTACTGACTTAGTTTAATAAGCATTGCAATTCTTTCTTCAGTTAAAAATAGACAATATGATTTTCTTTTAAGGGGTACTCATGAAATATATTAGCTCAGTGGTTTTCAACCTTTTCTTTACCACAAACACCCTTTAAATACCTTTTATGGCCATGGACCATGGCCACAAACCACAAAGACTTAACTCAAGATTTAAATCATAACATTTCTTCAAGACCTCGCAGATTCTCTGTGACAATATCATGGCAACCCAGAGGTCAGCAGACCACAGGTTGAGAACCACTGTGTTAGCTAGTTGCCACCATTTCCCAATGGATATAAATCCTTTTCCTCTTCATTTTAAAGGGTACTTATAGGAAATATCTGATTTACAGACTGTAGAACAGTCAGTAAAATCCCTGCAGGCCCGATATAAACTTATGACACTTGATTTCCTGCCTCATTTTCAACCTGGTCATATATCATATTGTTCTGAGATTTGAAGTTTGTCCCAGGATCTATTGAAAAAGAAATTGTGTGTGTGGCTCCACAAGCCTTTTAGCACTCTTCAAGATCATAGCACCAAAAATAGGATAGCAAATCACAAAAGCAGGATGATACGACTTTCCATTTTTTAAAAAAAATAAGGAATGAAATCACTTCCTCCCCCAGTCATTTCTCAACATTTAAATAAAGGGGCTAAAAATTACAATCTCATTTTTCTGCTAATGTCATCATCGTTATCATGATTGCCATCATCATCTTCACCATCACAATCACTGAAAATGACATTTTTATTCCTATTGTTGATATTTCTTGCAATTGTTGCATCTTCCAATAAAGCTTTTCACTCTGACCTAATGACTGACAATAAAAATCTTCAAGATTAAAATGTCCCCAAATAGTTAAACATTGATGATCCTGAAGGGACTTTACTTTCCTCAATTTATCTCCATTTTGAAAATCAGTGTATGAAATGAATGCAGCTGGAAGAGGATTAACCATGGTGGCGCAGTGGTTAGAGTGCAGTACTGCAGGCTACTTCTGCTGCCTGCCAGCTGCCTGCATTTTGGCAGTTCGATTCTCACCTGTTCAAGGTTGACTCAGCCTTCCCTCCTTCGAGGTCGGTAAAAGGAGGACTCAGATTGTTGGGGGCAACGTGCTGACTCTGCAAACTGCTTAGAGAGGGCTGTAAAGCACTGTGAAGTGGTATATAAGTCTAAGTGCTGTTGCTATTAGCAATGGACATAAAACATCCCGAGTTACTTCCTGCAGAAGCTCCATGAAGCTAAGAAAGTGAAGGAGCAATAGGAACTTCTGAAGTGTGATATAGTTCTGTGTTTTTTTTTCACTTTTGCTCAGAAGTCCTTAACTGAATACAGGTATGCTTAAGGAATTGAAGGAAGACAATGAACAGAAGGGCTCATTTGTGTAAAACCTGTAATCCAGATTGTCCCTTCATCATCTATATCAGGGGTCTTCAAATTTTGTCCTTTTATGACTTGTGGACTTCAACTCCCAGAATTCCTCAGCCAGCGTGCCTGGCTGAGGAATTCTGGAAGTTGAAGTCCACAAGTCAAAAAAGAGGCAAGTCTGACCCCTGATCTAAATCTTACCTCAAGAAAGTGTTCTGCCTGCTGTTCACGATCCAGCTTTCTTGAAGTTGTGGTTATGAGCCCTGTAAGAAAAAAACAAACAGAAATATTTTCCATAAATGTGAGGTCTAGCATAGAGCACAAGTAGCAAATGTTTCAGTTTCATCTGACTGTGATAATTATCAAAGGCTGGGATGCGCACTAACTAGAATTGTGCACTAACTGGAATTGTTCTATTGCGTTCACATAATACATACCTTCACTTGTTTATCTGTTATTTATTTATCTATTGCATTTCTTTACCACTCATCTGACCATAAATGATTCTGGGAGGCTTACAATAAAAACGTAACATGAATGCATAAATAAGAACAAAGTTAAAAACAGAATGAAAAGATTAGGGATGCAGTGTTAACATTTTAAAAAGTTAAAAGACACCTGCACGATACCAAGTATCCATAAGGTTAAAAGAATAATAGAGTTGGAAGGGACTTTGGAAATCTTCTAGTCCAGGGTTAGGCAAACTCGGCTCTTTTATGACTTGTGGACTTCAGCTCCCAGAATTCCTCAGCCAGCATGGCTCAGTTGGAAACCTCTCCCTTTCTCAGCATGGCTGGCTCAGGAATTCTGGGAGTTGAAGTCCACGAGTCATAAAAGAGCCAAAGTTACCTATCCCCATTCTAGTCCAACCCATGCTCAGGTAGGAGGCCCTACACCAGTGATGGCGAACCTTTTAGAGACCGAGTGCCCAAAACCTGCCCCCCGCCCCCACTCTGCCTCCCGCCCTGCCTGTTCCGCCCCCCGCCCCACCCGCATGCAGGGCCACCCAGTGCTTCCAGGCCAACCTGTGGCCAACCACAGATTGCCCAGGCGGCCCTGCAGCGCCATGGCAGCCACGCCCTCCACCTGCACCCTGCAACATCATCTGTGCATGACGGGGCGCGAGGGCAGAGTCTTGTCCCTGCTGCCCGGCTGTCATGTCCTTGGTTGCGCTGCTCCAGGTGGGCCGTGCCCAGGGGCGACTCTCCTCCAGGGGGGGGCTGCTGGTGAGGAGGGGGTCGCAGGGGAGGCGGGGCTGGGGCGACAGCATGTGTGCCCACAGAAAAGGCTCTGAGTGCCGCCTCTGGCACGCGTGCCATAGGTTCACCACCACTGCCCTACACCATTTCAGATAAACAGCTGTCCAATCTCTTCTTAAAAACCTGCATTGATGGAGCACCCAGAAATTTTGAAGGCAAGCTGTTCTATTGATAAACGGTTCTAATCCTAGGTTGAATCTCTCTTTGATAAGCTTCCATCCTTTGCTCATTGTCCTGCCCTTAGGTTTTTTGGAAAATAGGTTGACCCCCTTTTCTTTGTGGCAGCCCCTCAAATATTGGAACATGGTTATCATGTCAACCCGAGTGCTTCTTTTAATCAGACTAGACATACCCAGTTTCTGTAACCATTTTTCATGATGATCAGTTCCCTAAACATCTTTGTTGCTCTTCTTTGCACTCTTTCTAGAGCAGTGGTTCTCAACCTGTGGGTCGGGACCCCATTTGGGGTTGAACGACCATTTCACGGGGGTCGCCAAACAACGCAGTCCGCCATTTTTTCCCCCTTTTCCTTAGCTGTGCTACTCCCTTTTATTCTATGGGCTTTTGAAAGCCAATAAAATAGACTCTCTTGAATAGAGTCTAATTCTATTGACTTTCAAAAGCCAATAGGAATTGTCCAGGCTGTCTCTGCCCTGCTGAGCCCGACAAAAGTCCCATTCTGCAAACGGTGCTGCACAAGTTGAGTAGTCCTCGACTTACGACCGGTTGGGGTCGCGGCATTAAAAAGGTTGAGAACCACTGTTCTAGAGTCTCAACATCTTTTTTATATTGTGGCAACCAAATGTTTGACACACACACACACCCCGTCGGCAGAGTCAGATCTTAACACTCTTTCTGAAAGCCAGAAGAGTGGGGGCTCACCTCACCTCTGGGGGTAAGGTGTTCCTAAGGACTGGGGCAACTGCAGAGAAAGCTCTCTTCCTGGATCTTGCCAGAGGAAATTCTTCCAACTGATAGGAGTCACAAATACAGGTTCTGGTTAACTGATCACAGATATGCATGTAAAAAACACTGTGCTGGACTCAGCTGGAATTCAATTTCCATTGAAATCAACAGGTGAAATTAGCAAGTGAGGTTAGCTATGGGGATTACCAATCCACTGACTTTAAAATGACAGCTAAACCAGTCAAAAGTTTCTAGGGATTTTGTTTAACACACATTTTTAAGCAAATTAGTTTGATTTCACACTTTCTGGATGAATATTCCAGACAGAACCACTGTTTATACAAGACAGTATGTGACATTCTGAATTTTCCGGTGTTTGTTGCTTTATTTAATAAATGAATTAATGAGATGGCTGCCATCTCATATGTATCAGAGATAAATCTGCTCTTAGGGAGGATAATATTCCATGGGCAGATGCAATGGCAGAAAAGGCAGCCTTGTTCTTTGTACTTTGCGGTGCAATTGTTTTTAAAATCTATCCCTCCCTTCTCCTCTGTGTGTTTCAGCTATAATGTGCATTTAGAATTGATACAGAACAGAAAAAAGGCTGTAAACCCACCTGCACCCATCCCATAATGCTTGATAAGATAAGATAAGATAACCTTTATTGTCATTTTTATACTGTGGGTACAATGGCACACATCAAAAAATGAAATTTAGTTGCCCGCTCTCAAAGTGAAACACATACATGACACACACCTAAACATACTATGAAGAGCATATGTATAGACCCACATCCCTACATATACATAGCAAATAAATATTAAATTTATTTATTTAATAAATTTACTTAATATTGAAAGCCCATACACGGATGCATACCTGCCATGCTCTTCCATTTCAGGATAAGCCATGTTAGGCAGATTGCAGAAAAGGAGCAAGCAATCATGTGCTAGAGAGAGCAAATGTATTCCACTAAAACAAATAAATAAAAGAAAATAGAGCAAAGTCTAATTTACACCAAATGAACACCCCTTGCTCTCGCCGTTCTACCTTTCTATTTATAAGCCCTGGTGGTGCACTGATTAGAATGCAGTATTGCAGGCAAATTCTGCCCACTGCCAGAAGCTCGATCCTGATTGGCTCGAGGTTGACTCAGCCTTCCATGCTTCCGTGGTCGGTAAAATGAGGAGCCAGATAATTGGGGGCAATATGCTGATTCTGTAAACTGCTTAGAGAGGGCTGTAAAAGCACTATGAAGTGGTGTATAAGTCTCAGTGATCTTACTCTTGCAAAGTATGACTTCCATGACATCCACATACCACCTCATCCAGTGCACTTGCTTTTGAAACCTATCAGCTCTCTCTCTTGAAGGACCTAATAACTCCATGCAACCATGATTTTTTTCGGGATCCCTTCCTCTTGATGCCTTCTCTCTTCCTTCACAGAGTTGTTTTAAAATTGGATCTTCTTTCATTCTGTCTACATGTCCAAATCATCTGAACATACTATTTCAACCCAGGTGCTCAATTGAGTATTCAGTCATTTTATTCTTTACCTAGTGCTCTCTCTCTCTCTCTCTCTCTCTCTCTCTCTCTCTCTCTCTCTCTCTCTCTCTCTCTAATTTTTATTGAAGATGTTAATGATGGTAATTAAAACTAATACAAACTAAATCCAGAGAGAGAAAGGAAAGTAAAAAGACAGGGTAAAATATACAAAGAAGGGAAAAAGTAAAAAAGAAATAAAAAGAAAAAAAATGATAAAGAAGTGACTTCCAATCTTCATCACATTACATATGAACAGGTTGGTGGCCCTTCACTCTCTATAAAGTTCCAGAGAGATGTCTCTACTTTCTATAATCCACCCGTTATTCATAAACAAACCCATAGGGTATCAACTTTTCAATCCTGGCACCAGCAAAACTTTGTAAAATATTGCCAGAATTTCATAAAAATGTATCCTTTTTTAACCTTGATAACAGAATAAGAGTTGGAAGGGACCTTGAAGGTCTTCTTGTCCAAACTCCTGCTCAAGCAGGAAACTATACCATTTCAGACAAATGTCCAATCTCTTCTTAAAAACCTCCAGTGTTGAGCACCTACAAGTTCTGGAGACAAGCCATTCCACTGATTAATTGTTCCAACTGTCAGGAAATTTCTTCTTAGTTCTAGGTTGGTTCTCTTCTTGATTAGTTCCCATCCATTGCTTCTTATTCTGTCTTCAGATGCTTTGGAGAATGGGTTGACCCCCTCTTCTTAGCGGGAGAACCTTAGATATTGGAACACTGCTATTATGTCACCCTTAGTCCTTATTTTTATTAAACTAGACATACCCACTTCCTGCAACTGTTCTTCATATATTTTAGCGTCCAGTCCCCTAATCATTTTTGCTGCTTTTTTCTTCATTCTTTCTAGAGTCTTAACATTTTTTTTTATATCATGGCGGCCAAAACTAGATGCAATATTCCAAGTGTGGTCTTACCAAGGCGTTATAATGTAGTACTAACAAATCCCGCATGAGGGTAGTGCTGAAGAGATCGTGCTTGTCAACCATGTAGCTAATCCCTGAGAAACAGAGCGTGAATGGCAACTTGGCGATCCAAAATCTAGAATGAAATTCTATGCATAGTTAAATTGGAATAAGCTCCATTGATCAGAATTACTTATGAAAGGGCAGGCGTACAATTGCGCCATAGTGTAATAAATCTCTACAAAGCAATTTGTTGCCTAAATAGTCAGTAGCATCGCCATAATTGCTGATGAAGAATGACTGAGCTTCAACAATATAGCAGGACGGAAGAGTGTGCATTTGTAATAACCCAGAGGGCTAAACACATCACTGACTTGAACCAGAAGCCAATTTCTCCTGCCCACAACCTCTAGAAGCTGTAGCTCTGAAAGAAGAAACACTTGGAATTGTAATAAAGAACTTTTTGGTATGTTCTCTGACACGCAACTCCCAGGATATCTAGGAAGAAGCCATGAGAATTATAGCGATATAAAACCTATAAAAACTCATAGCGCAGACAATCCAAGTCACAACCTGTTTGCAATCCAAGTCACAACCTGTCCTTGCTGGGAGTGTGGATGAGCGCTCAC